GTTCAAGCCAATCCTCGAAAACTTATAAAGCAGTGGTGGGGAACATCCAGCCTATGACCATACAAGGCTCTTGAAATCATTTGGTTTGGCCCTGCCAAGGCAACTGCAGTTCCAACCATCACGTTGTTGTTGTTAAGTGCCGTCTAGTTGGTTCCAACTCATAGTGACCCTGTATAGGTTTTTTTGAGGAGAGCTGGTGGGTTTGAACTATTGACCTGTGGTTCATGGTCCAGTGCTGATCTTACAGCACCACACCAGAAGTCCAGCCATTATATTGCTGTTGTTTTTGTTGTTGTTAAGTGCTGTTGAGTCAGTTGTGACCCATAGCGACCCTGTACAGGGTTTTCAAGGAGCAGCTGGTGAGCGTGAACTGCCAACCTTGCAGTCCAAACCGATTTTGCAGTCCAGCACATTAACCCATAGCATCACAGCCATTACATTAGGGGTGAGTCAATTAAATGTTTGACCAAGTATAACAGGCTAATTTTTAAGTTGATGATTTTCTATGGCCTGGAAATGATGTTACAAATTTTGGCAGAAAAAAAGGTTTCCCATCCCTGCTATAAAGGGTTGCTATGAGTCAGAACTGACTTGACAGCACTTAACAATAAACTATATATGCCATTAGGGTTTTTGAGGAGCAGCTGGTGAGCTTGAATTGCTGACCTTGAAGTTCAAACGACTTTCAGTCTGGCGCATTAACCCACAGCGCCACACCAGGACTCTCTGTTTCTCTCTGTCTCTCTCTATATCTCTTTCTGTCTGTCTGTCTGTGTGTCTGTCTGTCTGTCTCTCTCTCTCTCTATATATATATATATATACACACACACACACACACACACACACACACACATATATATATATATATAGTTGTTGTTAAGTGCCGTTGAGTCAGTTCCAACCCATAGCAACCCTTTATAGGGTTTTCGAGGAGCAGCTGATAAGGTTGAACTGCCGACCTTGCAGTTCAAATGGCTTTGCAGTCTGGAGCATTAACTTATAGCACCACACTAGGGCTCATATATACATATATTTTTAGGTATAGTTATATATATTGGTTTTCAAATATAATATTATATATATTGGTTTCCAAAAGTCATTGAAAAAATGGAATTAAAAGATAATGGAATGTTTCAACAGACTTTGTGAAGTTTCCACATGCACACACACACACACACACAGAGTATATATTTTACACACACACACAGACATTTTTAAGCAACTTTTGTGGACAAGCATTTAAAAGTATAGAATAAATTGGAAAAGTGTGAAATTGATTGATGGTGATTGGTATCTCTAACCAGAAAATTTCAATTCATTTAGAATTATTTTAATATGCTACTCAATCAGATTGTTTTTATTAGTTTCTGTACCATCTACACAGAAGTTTAATATATGTTC